CCTTAAAGTTTTTTAAGGAACCCACTAGACAGGATCCTAAATCTCTGCGATCTTGCAGTTTTCCACATTACTTCATGTGGTCATTATCTTGCAAAGCTTTCCACCACTGTGTAATGTTTTGTTTTGTTTTTTCTGTAGCTTCCCATACCGTTCTTCCCACTGTCCTTCAGCACTCACTCACATCTTCCCTGAGGCCTTCTATACCAGTCACTCTCCCATCAATGGGACAAAATATCTAATCCTTGAAGTGTAAAAGAACAAAGATTTATTTGGCTCATCATTTCAGAGGACTTAGTCCATGGTCAGCTGACTCTAAAGCAGAAATAGCACGGTGGGAGGGCATGGTAGAGGAGAGCTGCTCATCTTGTGCCACCCACAAAACAGAAAAAACAGGGGAGCAAGGAAAATAATACAACATCCCCAGTGAGCCACCTCCAATCAGGCCCCACTTTCTAATAGGACATTTATTCATTCATCAATGAATTAATTCATTATTCATTAATCCATTCAGATTAATTCACTGACGAGTGTATGGTAGCACCCCCATGACTCAGTCACCTTCCAAAAAGCCTCATGTCTGAACACCATGCCACCCTGGGGAAACAGTTTGCACTTAACCTTCAACCTTCTGTCTTCCCCTCAGACCCAAAGCCAGCACATGTTTAAGATTTAGTTAGTAGGACCAAAGATCCACAAGGTGCTGTACATGGATAAAATCCTGAGAGGATTTGACTGGCCTTATCAGATAGCAAAAGTTACATGTTTAGTTTATAGGTCTTGCCTTAACTTGGTCTTAACCATCCAGCAAAAAAGTGTAACCATGAGGTTTAAAAAGTAAAGCTACATTAATATGCTGAGCTGTAAACAACTCAAGTCAACAACTTCAGACAATTGCCAGTTGTGCTGGGAATTCACTACTATTATGGACTACTGAACTATATTGGGTTATTTTGCTGAATTCAAGTACCTACAATACTGGACTGGCATCAAGTATGAAAAAGTCCTTTAAAGACTTCTCCAAATACAGCTTCACTAACAGCAATGGAACACCCATCTCTGACAAAACAAAACAAAAAAAGGTGATATAAATAAAAGACCATTTTGTAGTAAAAAATATATATAGGTATATACAAGATAGGATAGATATATAGCTACTTTCTCTTAGTTCAATGAGAAGAAAAGTTTGTACTAATATTGTTTAGACAAGATATCATGTCTGCATCTTGTCATCTGAGTAATCACTATGAAGACAAAAAATATGCAATGTATTAATTTTTTAACTATCCTAGTAACCTGTTTTGAAACTGTTTCATTGCTATTTTATCTTTTTCTCATTAAAATGAATTTAAAAAAATTTAAAGAAAGAAAAAGATTTAGTTAGTAAAACACCTCACCCTGGTGTCAAGTTATATTCTAGTTATCCAGAACATTAAGCTATAAGTTATGTGGAACATTAAAACTTAATGCCTTATTTCACTCATAATTCTACAGTTTGGGCAGGGCTTAGCTAAGGAGACTCTGTTCTACATCACTCTTTTGGGGTTGGAGGCAGCAGTGCTACATGACTTACTTATTAGGGGACTATTGGGTGATGGCTGTAGATAAATTTCAGTTGGGATTGCCAGGAAATGTCTGGTTGCTTTCCATGGAGCTGTTTGGATCCTTTCACAGTTTGGCAACTGGATTGCAAGGGCAGGGGGCATGCAGTGAAGATTGCTAGTGCCTTAAAACCTAGGAAAGACTGGAAGGGTACACAGCGGCCACTGGTATTATTATTCAAGCCATGCTAAACCCACTCAGAGTCAGTGGGATGGGACATAAGTCCCACCTTTAAATGAGGGTTGTGCCAAAATCTTTGCAATCCTGTTTACCGTGCCTCCGCAAAAATCTACTAGATGACTGCTTATGCTGTCCTGATTTTAGATCTAGTCACTCCCATTTTGTCCCTCCCACTGAAGAATAGTCTCCTGGATCATTGTGAGTTACACCAGAAGCTAAACCAGAGCTCCTACCATCCACTCGGCGCTTCAGACGCACACATCCCTGAGCCAGGTACGTAACTCTCGCCCTGCGTTACTGGAAAACCCCTCTAACTATGGCACCACTTTGGCCCTTCCAGCCCTCTGGCCCACACCTACTGTTTTGCTTAGTATAGGGAACAACGTTATTGATTTGGCCAGGCTTTTTTCTCACTAGGAGAATCTCTTCTCTTTGGGTTTTCTGACTTTCTAGATTTTATCCCTAAGACCTGCTCCAAACAACTTATTTCAAAGTACAGGAGCAGACTTTCACCCAGGAGCGCTTGTACCATAAATCAACGAGCCATGAGTGATATGGTTGAGGAAGAGAATGGAGCTGGAGAATATATTACCTTGGTGCTTTGTAGTAGGGCACTGCTGGCTTCACTATTCTGTCTTAGGAAAGCATTTGGGGAGCCCACCGCTTTGGTCTCTCTTTCCTTGGTAGATGCTTATCCCAGCTGACTGAATGCAGCATTTCTTTAGATGGTCTGAGACTATCACTTTTCATTAACCGTTGGATTTCATTAACCCAACTCAGAACAATTGTGTCTGTATATTAGTCAGCTTTGTTACTATAATAAAATACATGAGGCTGAGGAACTTATAAGAAAAGAATTTTATTTAGTTAATAATTTTGGAGGCTGGGAGCTGAGTTGTATAATGCCAGTTCTGGCAAGAGTTCCCCTGGCTGTGTCACCTCCTGGTGGGTGATATCTTGGCAGGAATGCATATGGGAGGGAGCCACCACTTGGCAAAACAGGATGGGATCTGAGCTGTCATCTCTCCATACTAAGATGAATTATCTGGGGAGGGGGACAACTTAAAGGATTAAAGGTTTGTTTTGGTGCGTGATATGTAATTGGCTGGCTCCAATATTTGAGCCTGGAAGAAGACAGAATATCATGATGGAAGAGCACGATGAGGGACAGGAAAGCTGCTCACCTCCCTGCATCGAGGAACAAGAAAAAAAGAGGACGAGGAGGAGGAGGAAGAGAGGGACAAGGAGAGGAGATGGAACAGGTAAGAGAAAGACAACGGTAAGAGACAAAACAAGACTTCAAGGGTGGGGCCAAGGATAAAATTCAGCCTTCACACCCTACTGACCTACTTCAACCAGCTGGCTCCCAGGTGCTGATAAGTCCATTGAGCTTCTAGGAGTAGCCCATTCATAAAATTAGAGCCCGTGCCATTCAATCACTTCTGAAAACCATATATGTGACTACTTCGGTACTGGGGAGCAAGCTTGCAGCACATTAGCACTGGGGGACATATCCTATCGATACCATAACAACCATTCACTAGAATGCACCTCTTAATGTCCTACCACCTCCTAATGCCATCATGCTTGGGACCCTAGCTTTAGGGATCGTGTTTCCAAATTGGTGTGAATACCTTATAAGCATCAGAAGGGTAATAACACTCTGGGTTGATGATTTCACTTGATCCAATCGGAGACTTAATTTGATGGAAGAAGAGATTTCAGGATACTGTGCCCAATTGAATCTGGCCACAAAGAAGTTGATACTCACTGCTCTATTTTCTAGATTGATTTGTAGAGTTAATGCTCTTTCTAGAGCTGACACTCTGCTCTGTTTTCTAGATTTATCTCCCAGTGGAACTCCCAAAGAGCGCTGAGTTAAGATAGGATTAAGAAAGAGAGTAAAGTTAAGCTAGTTTTGATCCTGGTAAAACACACAAACATGACTTATCTAGTACTGGAAAATCTATGAGGGGAGCTTTACAACCATCAGAAGTCTGTCATCTGACAGGGCAGCTTGGTTTCATCTGGAAGCCCGACCCTGTATCACAGGATTCTCAGCACTTGTTCTCACACAGCTTCAAGAAATCACCAGAGCTTGAACCACACCCAGACCAATTACACCCAGCTCTGAACATGAGACACAGAGAGCTATAATTTTGAAAACTCCTCAGGTGACTTAAAGACACACAGTTAAGCATGTGATCCCTAAGTCAATTGCATCTGCATTCCCTAAGAGCTCATTAGAAGCAGCCTCAGTCCTCATTTCTGACATACTGAGCCAGACTCTGCCTTTAAAAAAAAAATAGGTTCAAGATAATTCATGTGCACTTTAAAGTTTGGAAAATTTCTCCAGCCCATATGGTATCACAAAATGCCAGGGCTTTCTGAGGTATGTGTGTCTTTGAGGGCGCCAGGCACTTACATGACTTAGCTAGGCCACCTTGTTTGTCAGTGACAAAGCTACAGTGAACGTTCATGTCTGGTGATCTTCAATCTAGCTGTGCCTCCTTGGGCAGTGGGGGTGGGTGATGGGGGAAAGGGATTGAGAGGTCCAGATTTGCATGCCAGGGCTCTGCTTCCTACTTCTAGCTCTGTTACCTTGGGGAAAACTCTCAACTTGATTTTTCGATCCATATAGAGAGCATCAAAGTACTTGGCCTGTGTTTCTTTCCAGTTCCATAGTGAGGCTTTGCTAGCTCACACATGTAAAAGAGTTTTACACTATAGAGTGCTGTGCAGAGTCAAGGGGTAAGTGATACGGTGCCCTACCCCACAGTAGAGAAGTGACTGTGAGCTTGCTCTGCACCTGATACTAGACATGGAGGTTCTTGGGGCCTCGCTACTCAGTACAACAGGTGATCCAGCACTTTGAGCACCACCAACACCTTGTAGAAATGTGGACTCTCAGGACCCACCAGACCTGCTAAACCAAAGCCTGCATTCTAGCAAGACCCCTGGGTGATTCCTGGTGAGTCTGTTCACATGGAAAATAAAATATTTTTATTAACATAAAAATAAAATATGTGGTCACAAAAAATAAATTGTCATTTACTAGGCGCAACCCAGAATTACCCTGGTGGATAAAATCAAAATAGAATTCCATTGTGAAATGGAATGAACTGGCCCTGTGTTATTAAAGCAACATTCCCAAGTACCGCATTCCCACGGGTCACTGTCCCATGGGTATTCAAGACATCAGGAGAGGTTTCCTAGGGCCCAAAGCTCCCATAAGAAATAATCTTACAGCTACCCAGGCCCTGCTTTTCCTCGTGTCTTGCATTGTGTTCATTCTCAGGTTGGGCAAGGTCCTCCGTGGGTGGCAGCTCATCCACGAAACCTGAGCTGCCCTTCAGAGACCAAGGTGAAGCCCAGTCAGAGGAATCAGAAGGTAAGACACTCCTACAAATTCATCCTCAGCATCAAGAAATTTTTCTATTTTTTTTTTTCTTTTTCCAGTACTAGGGATTGAATTCAGGACCTTGTGCTTGCCAGGCAGGCACTTATGCAACTGAGCTATCTTCCCAGCCCAGGGAACTGTATTAAGCACTGTCTAAAGGAATCATGTTCTCTCCATCCAACTTGCAAAACATCTGAACCTTAGGAATGTAATTAGACAGGGACAGTTACAAAAAGTAGTAGAGATGGACCTATTTTCGTTCAAGGGCCCAGATGCATCTGTTTTTGATGCATGTGTTCATATTTTAAGTTCTTTTCCCATTTTAAAACACTTTTTCCAAATTAAATGGTATACAGCTCCAAAACATCCTTCCCTAAATTAAAAAAAATAAATTTAAGCAAAGCTAAAGTCTTTCAACATAAACCTGCAGTTCTAAGAGCAAGAGAAAAGGGACTCTCTTTCAGACAAGAGGACTCTAGCTAGGTCAGCTGGTAGAAAAACTTTTATTAATCTCCCCAAAATGTTTTGGAAAAATGGCAGTGAGAACTCCTTTTAAAAAAACTACTTCACATTGCTGAATCCAGAATCTCCCAAAATTAAGCCTATTTAGAGCATCATTGTGTTTCTGAATGAGTGTTTTACAGATCATACTTCGGAAACTGCAGTACTCCTGAATTAAATCACTCCTTACCCAGTAAACTCTAAATCCCAAGGTAACGGAATCGTATTTTCTAACCTGTTGTCTTTGATTCCATCCTCAGCAGGAGGCCATCTGCTGTCAGAGGCCAGCCTTGCTTCTTTGGCTCCCTCCAAATCAGGTAATCTTCTGAGGGGTCCTAGGGTGATGAGGAGAGGAGTTGCTGTCCAGCCTTTCATTTTTAGCTTTAAGTGCCTAGCCTTGTGGGGAAGAATAAACCCAAGAAGTAACACAACGTTTGGCGATCTGGTAAAAGGACTGAAAATTCACATTTATTGAGGAAATTACATACCAGAAACCAGCCTGAGCCCTTGCCACAGAGGATGTAATTAGTCAGCACAACAGGGGTGCTACGCAATTATATTCCCACTTTTGCAATGATGATTGAGCACCAGAAGGATGACTCAGATGCCAACCACCCTTGGCCAGCAAAGTAACAGAGTGGGCTTCCCAGGGCCTGCCTGCCTTCAGGGCCTCTTCCCATCACACACTGAGGTTGGTGAGCCTCAGTTTGAGTCTCACAATGCCCGTGCTGTGACGATCTGTGAAAGACAGAAGAAATGAGAGGCAAACCAATGGTTCAGAGGGGTGGCCTCCCCTATCTGCTCAGAGTAGGGGTGATGTGATTGGTGTTAACAGTGTTGGCTCCTGCTTGGGGCATCAGCCGGCTCCAGGACATCTGGGGTCTGTTCCCTTCTCTGCTTCAGTCTTCCACCAAAGTCATAAGTGGTTTCTGTCAGAAGCGCCAGGATTACGTTGGTAGCATCCTCCTGACCCAGAGTGGATTCCTTAGTGAGCACTGACCTAGTGTTGTTTGCTGCTAAAGCTAGAGCCTATCAAAGTATCAGATGAATCCTGCATTAGGATGTAGTAACAGCAACATAAGGTGCTGTAATACAGCTCCCCACACCCAGCACAGATTAAGGGTGAGGCGCTCAGAATAAAATTTTTTCCCTACCAAGGGATGCAGGAAGATTTCAGGGAGGAAGAGGCAAAGAGCTGGCATCCCAGAACAGGGAGGCTGTGGACAGCTGATGAAAGGGGGGAGCACAAGTCAGAGGTTCCAGCTAAAGGCTTCACATTTGTAGAGTAAGAAACAAGACTGGGTATGCACATGAATAGCATTGTATAATGTAACTGCTCATCTCCGAGGTGACCTATCACATTGGTTTTCTGGTTTTGGTTGGTGGGAGAGGGTTGGTACCAGGATTCAAGCTCACAACCTTTGGCTTGCCAGGGAGGGGCTGCACAGCTGAGCTATATCCTTGGCTCATTTATTATTCTTAGTCTAAATGGACTCAGCCACCAGCCCTAGATTTGGGCTGTCTGCCATCCCTATGCAAAGCCTGTACTCAGCACTGGTGAGTGGATTCCCCACTCTATCCGAGATGTCAGTAAATATAAGTTCCCAGTGTAGAGTTTACTCTTCTAGGCACAGGTGACCCAAATGAATGCCTAGATCCTCCAGCTGTGAGGCAAATGCCTCGCCACTGCTGGAGCTGCTCCTACCCATTCAGGCCCTTAGAGGCAGACACAATCCCTCCACCCCAAGCTAATGCATCTCCAGCCCCTTCCTGACACAGGCTGTGGTTTGTGAGCATGCCTGCCTCCCTCTGTCCTCTCCACTCTTCTGCTGTCATCACCATCTGCACAGCTTGTATGTGACATGGCAGAGTTCTACGTCACCCTAGCATAGTGATGGCATGGGGTCACTCAGGAAAGGATGCAGAACAGAATGTTATCAATGCCGCTAATACCAATAATAACAATGAAGCCTCACTGTTATCAAAACTGCTATCAGTACGAGTAATAGTGAGCTTCCACTGAATCCCTCGTATTCCTCCTATCAACCATATTTAAGGTAGGTCTTACTTTCCCCTCTTTACTGGTGGGCAACACGAGACTTTGTGAAGTTAGTGTCTTGTTCATCTCCTAAGTGACCCTGTAGAGAAGTGACCTAGACTCAGTGTGGCCCCAGAACCCAGGTGGCTAATCATTAGAGACAGTATTCTTCTATCAATGGATTTGAATGAAAAACTAATGCTAGAGATACTTCTTATCTGACTTCTGGAACAAAGTGGGGATCTGAGGCTGAACCTGGACTGGGGGAGTTATGTAAAATCTGTGGCACTGTTTTCCAGGTGCAAAACTCAAATGTACCCCAAAGAAATTCCACATTCGAGACACAAACCAACAGGTGCTGGTCTTGCAAAGAAACATCCTCAAGGCTGTTCCAGACAAAGTCGGCCAATGCAAAGGTGATTCTGAAGCTTTCAAAAGTGGTCTATCCTCGTGCACCCCCCATGCCTGGCTGGGTGGGGTACCTATTTAATAGTATGGCTTGGCTCCTCAGTTCTCCTGAAGACACAAAGCACCATGGCTCAGGAAGCAGCCGCAGGAGGCTGCTGATGATGAGCAAGAGGATGCATAAGGAGACAGGCCTGAGGAAGTCACCCTGGGGGGTGTGGGAGGAAGACAGAGCCAGAGATGTAGGAAGAGGGAAGCGCAGAATACAGATGGTCTTAGCTCTCAGGCTAACGCAGAGTTGAGAATGTGATCACATAACTGAAGAAAAGAGGGTGCTTATACCATAAACCCCAACAGCAAAAGAAAAATATCTCCAGATATGACATGATTTCTGACTTTTTCTAGCGACCTTTTATGTATTACCTTCAATACACTCAAGATATGGAAACAGAAATGCTATATTTTTGGCTGTGTCTAAAGAGGAGCTCTGTCTCTGCTGTGATCCCGTCAAAAAACGAAGAAAACCTACATTAAAATTAAAGGTAAGATTCTAAGGTCAATTAAGATTCAGGACATATGAAAACTTGTACTGTAACATCATGTACCTCAGTAGTGTCCCAAATTTTCTGATCAAGAAGATTATGGGGCCAAAGAGGAAAGTGATCGATGATGTAGAGTGTGCCTAAGGAGAGTCACATGGAGAGAAAACATTTTCTCAGGCTTTCACAGAGAGCACATTGGCCAAGCAATGGCCGTGACTCATCCACATGGCTGACACTGACAAAGGTTCTACAATCTGAGGTACAGGATCTCAGGATAAATCCTGAGGGCATTTCACTGACCTTCTCAGACTAAAAAGCTACAACTCTTGTTGCATAGGTCCTGCTTTACCTTGGTCTTTACCATCCAGTAGAAAAGTATGAAGACGAAATATAGGAAGTAAAGCCATGCTGTTAAGTTGAGCTGTGGGGGACTCAGGTCAATAATTTCTGACATTGCCAGTTAAACAGAAGACCCAATGCTATTATGGGCTACTGGACTCTTTTAGAATATTTTGCTGAGTTTACACACCTTAATATTCAATAACGGAACTTAGAAAAAATGGGGTATACCGATGAATGTCCATTTTGTATTTGTGTATTCAAAGTGGTTAGGATAGATATATAGTTGCATTCCCTTAATGAATAGAATGATTTGTTCTAATGGTGTTTGTAAATAGGATCTCAAGTCCGCATCTTGTACAGCAATTAACCACTAAGAAGAATATATGCAGTGTATTATTTGTTGAAACTATACTTTCGATTTGATTTGAAACTGTCTCATTGCTATCTGTTTATCAATAAAACTTTGAAAAAAAATAAAATTAAAGGTAAGAGAGCTGGAAGAAATGTCCCCTGTCCTCCCAGCCCAAGCAAGAGGAAAACTTTAATGCTAAGATCAAAACCAAAAGCTTCAGCAAAGACATCTGATCTTTCCTTCTGGCCTTCACAAAGTAGCCTGGCTACCTATTAAGCTCATCAGCTTTCCAACATAGTAACAGATATGATAGAGCTCCAGCTTACAAAAAGAAAAGGTTTCTGGAGGTCACAGTCTTGGCAAACTCTGATCATGATTTATTGGTTCTATTGCTTTGGGCCCATGGTTGTCCATCACAGTGGAAGGACGAAATAAAGGAAAACTGTTCCCCTATAGCCAGAACGCAAAAGAAGAAGGAGCCAAAGTCCTACAATCCTCATCATGGTCACATCCCCAGGGACCTAAACCTTGCTGCCAGCCCCCACTTAAAAAGTTTCCACCGCCTCCCAATAGTGCCAAGCTGGGGACCAAACACCGGTCTTTGTGAGGTTGTTCCAAATCTGAGCTACAGGAGCAAATAATAAATTCTCCCCTGTCTTTCAGAAAAAGAACATCAATGAACTGAATTCCCTGAAGAAGAAAGAAAGTCTGCCCTTTACCTTCTATAAGCAAAAAGATGGCTCTTATTATACTTTGGAATCTGCTGCAAACTGTGGATACTTCATCTCCACCTCCTGCAAGCCGAATCAACCTGTGGGAGTGACAGCCAGGACAGGAAAGCAAAACATTAACTTTTTATTTGAAGGTGAAAAAGTGGATCTCGAGAAGTAGAAAGCTGAATATACAATGGACAATGGCCAGGTCATGCATGACAGCAGAATTCCTGCTCAAACCTAGCTGCCAACCCCAAGCTGTCAGGACATGGGCAGATACGCCAACTGCTCTAGCATTTGACCCCATTGTCATTGTCAACTTAGCACTGACCAAAGAAAGCCGTTTGTTCTCAGGCCCATCACACAGCTTCTCTCTGACCACAATTCCGAAAGGCATTCCTGCTCCTCTGCTGCCTCTCAACTGCTAGGAAGTACTAGCCATCATGGCCAGTCGTTTGCTATAGCAAGTTCTAAATGACCACAGTGCATTGTTATTTGAATGGTTTTACTTACTTTCACAGAGAACTGCAAATAAAAGCCTACATGCTTTTCATTTTTGGTGCTCTTTATCCCTTAAGTATATGGAGTTTGGGCTATAGGAAGTAAGGTTTAGTTAATAACAAAGTTCTGGGCTAAAATATAGTTTCAGGGCGTAATGATCTCAGTGTCTGTGGGTTTGCTAGTTCCTATTGTATCATCTCCCCTGGATGTTTCTAGATCCCAGAACATAGCCAGACCATTACTGGTTGGTTATCTTATCCAAGAGGGCAGCCAGGACAATGCTAGGCTCTTATATTATAAAGGCCACTATGTGGTGCACGTGTGTGTGTGTGTGTGTGTGTGTGTGTGTGTGTGTGTTGGATGAATTCTAGCGAAGCTGATTGAGTTGCAGATGCAAACACAAACGTCTACAAGTAGAATCAAGATTTGTGGGACAGGGCAAGGTGTGTGAATGTGAATCTAGTGTGGAAGGTGGGACAGTAGGCGTGAACAGGGGGAATGAGCCAGTGATAAGGAATCTGGATCAGGCGGCCAGCACAGCTGACTTCCAGGAGACTTGAGGGCAGGTTGCAAGGCCTGTATCATTCTTCTGTGTTTAGAAGAGGGCATGGTCCAGCACCTGAACAAGGTCAGATGCCAGGCAAATAATCACAACCAGAACTTGAGGCCCAGACACAAAGTGGGCAGGCAAAAACTGGTGTGGGTTTAGATTTGAAGGTTTCATGTAATACATCTGGATAGGTGCTTAAAGACTGGGGTGATTCTCACCTCTACTCAGAAATTGTCAACCACAACTAAAAAAACCTGACAATGGTTTTGGAGAAGTGGAGGTCTGTGTCTCTTTTCTGTTCTGTTGTTGATCTTTCTCTCTGTATACTGGAGAAAGATACACCCTGTCAGAGTCACCTTAAGATTAAATTTCAGCCATTTATCTCACCTTTAATTATGCCTTCCTTTTGTCATCTAATGAGCTATATGATTGCTTTTCAATTGAATGCCATAGTACTTACATTAGATTAATTACATATTTCATCTATCTACTGATATAGGGTTTAAAATAGCATCCAAGCTAAAAATGACTAGAGGAACAAGATTTAACATTTCAGTTGCCCTTTATAAACAAATTACATCAGTGAAATTGTATAATCAACATTGCTTTGTCTCTAAAATATTTTTAAGAATTCTCCATTTAATTCCTAAAAAAACTAGGATGAGATGTCCCGTTTGACCCAGCTATCTGGGTATTTTCCCAGAAGAATTAAAAACATCATAGCACAGCAATACATGTGCACTCAAGTTTATAGGAGCACAATCTGCAATACTAAATCTTGGGGAAAATGTAAATGCCTGTCAAATGAGGGATGGATTAAAAATATTGACAGGCATTTTTAAGAGGTATTATTTTTCTATAATGGAGTATCACTCAGCTGTAAAGAAAGGCAAACTTGAGGATCTTATGGGTAAATGGATGCAACTAGAGATCATACCCATAAGGGAAATAAGTCAAACTCATGTATGTAAACATCATATTGTCTCCCTAGTGTAAAAAAACAAAAAAAGTAAGATCTAAAAATCTACAACAGCTATTGTGAAATGGAAAGAAATTGTAAAAGGGAAAGAAACAGTTCAAAAAGAAATAACAACAGAATAGGTGAA